TGGTAAGAAACCTGATACTAGTGATAATCATTTAAATTGAGTATTTTTCTTAAATGTATTTAATCTGTATTGAAGAGAAGCTGTTAGGGCAGGTTCCCACTATGTCGTAACGTTTTATTTATCGTAGGACGACTGTCGCATCTAGCCTGTTCGCATAACATGACTCACTGTCGTGACTTTGTCGTAGACGTTTTTTCTATAGTTGAACAACTGTCATGTCTAGCTGTTCCCACCAGATCGTGACGACAATTTATCGGTTCACAGCAGCCGCCTGTTGTTTGCTTGACAGAATCGTTTGAAGTTGCGATTATCTGTCGTGTCATTTTTATCGTGACGTTTTATTTATCGTTGGACGACTGTCGTTTTAGCACTTCCCATTGCCACGACAGTCTGTCGTCGTAAAGTCAAAGAAGTCGTGAACGACAGTTAATCGTGTTGTACTATATGTGAACAATTTCATTGAAATATATAAGCCACGGCACTTTAAACTATACCTTAGGCTTAGCATAGTATTTTTTATTTTATTATAAGTGCAAAATAATGTTTAATATTCCACAGATTGTATGGATTCAAAATCCATCCACTCGCATACCAGATCCAGCAGCAGGCGGCTGCTAACTTCAAGGCACCGCTTCGGAGTCTCTCGTACAACAACGGTAAACGCTAGGCCCGCGCCCCCCGCGCCCCCGCGCACAAAGATACAGATTGCTCCTCGCTGCTGAAACTCTTACAAAAACCTGTCACCAAGGACGCCTAGTTCGCCAACCGGCTGAATACTACAGGCACTTTTGTGGCACACAACACTGAAGTGTACTAAAGTATAAATCTCCCACTGAACCCATTTTGTAACTAAATCCGATTTGGTGGAATGTTTAGTTTTTGGCATGAAAATGTTGTGTCGTAAAATTTGTGTTTCTATCTTTTACTAAGTCCTAACTTTCTCGCTTATTGTATTAAGCTTCCGTATTGGCAAGTTTGGCTTGAAACGCGAGTTTAGCGAGGATCTGTATCGGCCACTGGTTGTGTGAAATCACGCCGAGTTGGGACGCGCGACCATACGTAGCATCTACCACGTACTGTTACTATCCGACGCTGTTGTATTGATGGAAACTGCTTGAGTCACTATGTACAAAACACAGTTATACATTTTATTTCTTGCATTCAAAATAAAAAGCGTCGCGGGTCTAGTAGTTCGTTTACTGGCATCAGTAAGTTAGTACACCGTCATGCCTCATATAGTCGTATTTGACCGACATTGGTGATCAGTTCCACTGTAGTTCGTAAGCCCGGTGTCTGTTCGTTATAGAAGTGTAGCTTATATTTGGCACAGTCTACAGGTAAGGTTATAGACAAATGTATTGTAGTTCCCATGTTTTAAACTTTAAGGTAGGCACATGTAAGTTTTTATTTTTATATCCGATAAATCCAAGATAATTTCACCGCGTTTGTTTCCGAAAGTTTTATTCGTATTTTCGTTTCTGTATCAGTTTTCAGTAATTATTAATAAATAATATAACAACTATTGGCCTTTTTTCTTGCTTATCCTGCATGCTAACCACGTGTTTTCCTCTTACTGAAAGGGTTCATGAAATCAAGGTTATGAGCGGCAATTTTGAAATTTACTAGCTACACAAAACGAGTGGTCAAATGAATTAGTGTATTTCTTTGTACAACTCATAAAACGAGACATTACCACGAACAATAACAAACGGCCATCTAGAAGAAAACTCACGCGTTAGATCATGGCATTGACATGGGCTATTCACACCACAATCACAGTCTTAAATGTGACCGTATTTTTTTGCAGCAAATCATTTTGTAAATTATTCACAAAATGCATTAAAGTTTGAATGGCTTCCATTGGCTTTACCTGTGTTCGCTTGTCCACGTTTAGGTATTATTTTAGTAATGTTAAGCTCTAGAGCTTGCTTCTGCGTACAGGTGTGAATAGTCCACACGAATATTGAACAGTAGTTTAAAAAGTACAGTTAGTAGCGACGTTGGATTGGCCATCGACTAACGTTTTAATCTACGAAAATGTTTGTTTGCCGCAGAGACGAAGACTACTGGTAACATTCCAAAATGATTATATACCCGTCGAGCGCGCTGCCACAAGGGCCATGCCCGGAGAGTCACGGGATCCGGCCCACGGCCCACGACTCGCTCTTACCGACTACAACTTTAATGTAATTCTAATGAGTAATAACTAATAATATTTATTAAACAATTAATTAATTTACTCCTTATTTAACAGCAGTTATGTTTTAAATTCAATAAAGTTTATTTTTACGTTTTCTGTATTATGTTTTTCATTTGTTTTGTGCTTGGATATTGAAAAGTAGCTTGATCCATTGGCAGAGCATAGTGATAGATAACAAACAAAATAATACGCAAAAGTCGAACATGGTGTTAAACACCAAAGGTAGTTTATTTTTATTTTAAGTAGCTTACTTAATATTTACATATTTCTCAAAAAACAGACATAAAAGACTAAAATTATTAACTTATAAAATAATCTATTATATACATGATGTATAGGCGTCGCGCAAACGTATGTCTTGTGTTAGATACAAGCAACCGCCAACTAGAAGCAAACTATTTACATAGCGACTGACTATATCATGATCAATTGTATGAAAACAGGATATCCGCTTCCAATTGCGGGTTGCTTGTATTGAACAGAAGACACTTGCGCGACGTGGTAATCGTAATCACAGACACTTAAACATAAATTTATAATTACAAAAAGAAAATTAAACAGGCACATTAAGCAGGCATTGACAAAGCTCTTGTAGCAAATCTGCATCCCTTATCTCTTTGAATGCGTTGGATTTAAGAATGCTTGGATTTCCTTTGATGAACTTCAAGGCGGCAATCTTGAGTCTGTCCACATGGTACATGTCTGCTATGACAAGCGTCTCTACTGCATTTTCTAAAGTCAATTGCTTTGAGAGTATATATTGGGACAATTCTCGAAGACCACATATATTAAACTGATCTGCCAAAGCAAGTAAATTGCCAACATTGCAGTTATCAATATTTTTAATAGACCCTGTGTATATAAACTCTATGGCCAACTTTAATTCATCTGTAGAAACGTCAACAAGCTTTACAAAACTGTTTTGACTTTCTGCTGTATCGTCTCTGAGCATAGCTTTGAACACCTCGCTATGAGCTATGAGTAGAACCTTGTGAACATTGAATTTATCACCTTCAGAAGATTCTATTATGAAATCAGAATAAATTGGGTCAGTCAGTAGAGAGCTGAAGTCATGGTTGTACTTCATATTGTCAATAATATTCTGAGGGATGCTTTTACTGCTTTTCTTGAGAAACTTTACAGCTATGTAAAGAGATTTGTGTTCTAGGAAATCAACCTCAAAGTTGGAAAAGCTGAAAGTAGTGATGTAGTTAGGGCAGTGTTGTTTTGCCTTGTCAAAGTGGAATTCTTTGAGGGACACAGGTAAGAATGCAGCAAAATTCTTCTTGTCATGTGTTAAGGCACTATTAGAGCTTACAGCTACAGTAAATGTTGCGTCCTGGTGACTGGTGACAAAGAGGTGTAGGAGGTGTACGCTGGCGACTTGTTCCGTTTGGTACAAGAACCAAAAATCGGCTACGCTCTGGGAAATATAGGTACCACCTATGTCGTGGAAGTTTGGGCGATAGAGCTTATGGTATATTTTGTCGAGACGAAGCCATTTCGCGTCGTAGGTCTTAACGCGCTCTTCGGGATTGCGCGGATTGCCGTATACAATGTTCTTCGCGTCCTTAAAAAGAACATTGCACAATGTTAAAATTGACAAAACGGTACATATGATTCATCAGTGATCTTTGTTTTTATACAATAGAAATAATGGAAACAATTAGTTACTTACCAAGATGTTTTCTTTTAGATCCTCCATAGTGAAGCTAAGTGTAGAAAATTAGAAAAGAAAATAAAATAAATCATGTGTTAAACTGTAAATCGTACATTATGAATAGTACAGCATTATTATTTATTTGTTGAGCACTGGCTATAGAGCCATTAGCTTAAACAAGTAACAAATAATTAAAAAACTCAAACCGTATTACTTGGATAGGTAAATATTAATTTAAATAGCTTTTATCCTTTTGTTTTCTACACAAATTGACACAAACAAATGTCAATTAGCGATGGGCGAGTAGAGTTATTTAAAACGAGTTACTCCTATAACGACTCAACTCGAGTTACTTTTTCATGAACTCGAGCTAGCTCGATTGACCCGCCCCGCCTGGCGCCGAACCGAATATGTACTTCATTCATACTTTCATACAACGCGTCGGTGACCTTCAGAGCACGCTCGAGTCGCGAGCGATGGGCGAGCCGAGTTATTTAACTCGAGTTTACTCCCACAACGAGTCAACTCGAGCTTCACTAATTCACTTTGTAAACTCGAGCTAGCTCGGTCGATTCGGTGACCTTCGGTCACGCTCGAGTCGCGGTCGGCCGGCCGATCGTGTCCAACTCGGTGAATCGTCGGTTCGAGTTCGTCTCGCACCTCGCGGTTGCTCTGTTAAACACCGAGTCGAGTTAACTCGAGTTAGTAGTTAAGGTAACTCGAATAACTCGAGTTGAAACAAATACAACTCGTCCATTGCAAATGTCAATGAGCTTTTGTCATTCAGTCGCAATATTAGAGGTAATTTTAATATTAGGGTCATGGAAAAATTTACATTTTTCTCAAGACATATTTTTCTGAAAAATAAATATCTTCCGGATATTTTCCTCTATTTTTCCATAATTTCACGTTGACACCTATCAAAATATGTGAAAGCTACTGTATGAAAACGATGAAGCCAATAACAAGAGTGGTGGTGGTGTGGTCGTTGGTTTTTTCGCGTTGAATCGTTTTGAATCTCGTTTTTCTCTATGTGGCTTTAAAAAAAGTTTATTTTATAATTCAAGCTAAATAAAACATCAAAAATACGATACGATATATACGATAATGCAATTCCATCGTTACATTTATTGGTAAATAATTTTATATTTAATTTTGATTAAAATGGATCATTACTTGCCTAGTAATTGTAGAATCGTCAGTAGTGGTTCCGCGGAATGATACTCATAAAAATTACTATTTACAGCTTATTCGTTCACGGAAACAACACAGAGATTACACAAGCACAGAAGGAAGATAAGAGTTTAAAGCAGAAGGAACATATAGGAAATATCGAACACAAATTGCGTCGGTTAGCAATAGCTCGTAAAAATAAATAAAATAGCGGGGTAGCCGAGATTACTTAGCATACGACACGCATTCCACTCGAAAGCAAAGAAGCGACTCGGCTACGTCGTCATGCCACTGCCGCGCTCGGCTCCGCCTCTCGTTCCCGGTCGGTGGACGCGCACAAATATCTAATAACAAAACACAATGCGCTTGTACGTCTGTATGCTATATCTATTACACATATTTTAGATTTTACTTTACACATTTAAAGTACTGTTACATATGTATTATATTTATAGTTATGTATTATATGAAGCTATATAAATTATTTATCTTACACATTAAACAGCAATATTTTAATGATATGTATATAAATATAAAGAGTAAGTAGAAATATGCACTTATATAATTAATTAAAAATTATAAATTAAAATAATATAATTCTATTTATCTAAATTAATGTAGTAACCCTACAGTAATAATAGGCTAGTATTAATCATATTTTGATTACAGTAAACTATACTTTGCAAACATAGAAAACAGTTTCAACATTCAAGCCATACATTTGCATGTCGATATTGACTTATGATTATGGTACAACACTAAATTCGACATTTGTGGTAGACATTTTTGGTTTAAGTAGGTACGTTTATTCCGTAGATAAGGCAGCCCTTTTCTTTAATTTTTTTCCATCCTCTAAGGTAGTAATGAGCCTTCCGAATCATAAATTTTAATTTTTTTTAAACTTTCCAACTTTTCGGGAATTTTTCCGGAAAATTACTCAACACCTTACCATGCCATGGCGCTATAAAGTTAGCAAAACACAAATGAATTCCATTAATTCTCTGTGAAGTACGTGTGTATCCAAACTGTTTTTTTTTTCTAACATTGAAACGTCAAAATTTTGGTAGTTTTTTGACAAAAGTGCATGGATCTCGATTGTTTTTAGAATTTTTCCTTCCATTATTGTAATATTATTTTGATTTATTCCCTAATGCTATGACAAATATTGAGGCTCTAAGCCTCTATCAAAATGGTTTTAAACGCCGCTGTGCAAATGTTAAGGTAATTATTCTTTTATTTAGTTATCATAACCTTAATTTTATGTTTTTTCTTTTACGTGGTCTAATTTTCTTGAAAAATAAACTTAATACCGAAACTGAACTACACTCGAAAAGCCAGAAAACACAAAAAATATTTCTTCTAGTCCTGAAAGGTGTTTTGACGTCATCACGGGGAAATAATTCAAATTGTTTGTTGTCCGATATTATTAAATGAATCAACGACTGATGACGACATACAGGACTATCGTTTTCTTACAAATGTATTACTGACCGACTTTCATAACTCGCACTGGCTTACTAGTTTTTAGCGTTTATATTACGTTTTTTCTCCTCATTTAAGCTAGGCTCTTGGGTGGTGTAATTGCTAACATAATATCTGTTCAGCGCCTAAACTTTGAGTTCCTGCCACGACCCAATTTTTTCCCCTTATTTGATATCATCATATCATCAGTTTACGGGGTGTGCTCATGCTCTCCGGTGGCACAGCAGTTAGTGCTATGGGCGCTTGATGAGGAGGTCGATTCCGGATTTGGGCCAATTTAAGAAACAAACATTTCTAAGTTGGTTTTGGTCTGAATATTCTGGATTATCGTTGTTTTGGTATTCATAGTACAGGAAATTCGGCAGTAGTTTGGCATTTTTCCCCCTAAATACTTCTCTTCGGCATAGCTTTCAAGAAAATGGAATCTAACAGATATGGTTGAGATACAACAACACTATAATAAGTATCTCATTTCCACTACATCGGGAAGAATGCTTTACATTTTTACAATTGTGAGATCTTGTACTTGTAATGTATTACGCCTCCGTATATAATTCCTTCCGTACGAAGGCTTTAGGCACTTAGGATTTTGTTTTAAAAAAAATTAAATAGCACTTTAATGGTGGCCATATTTAAAAATTACAGAAATGTATTACAACTACTAATTATTATCAAACAATCTTAGAAATTTTTTCGTGCTAATTTTCAGTCCGAGCAAAGCGAGTTACATAAATAAATTACGGCTATATCGAAAGACAGCAAAAACAAAATTTTTACCCCAAATTATGATGCCATGTAATTTTCAGTGGAATTAGAAGAAATTTGTATCTATCGCCAAAAAAGTTTGTATGGTAGCCATATTGAAAAATGGTGAAAAATTAATTTTAACTGCTAATTATTATTAAACACTCATAAAGACCCCGACATGTCCATTTTCAATCGAATTAGTGCAAATTTTTATCTGCCGCTAAAAGAGTTTGTATAGCAGCCATATTTAAAAATGGCGAAAAACCAATTTTGATCACAAATTATTATCAGGCACCCCCATATGCCAATTTTCAAAGGGATCTGAGCAATTTTTTTCTGCCGCCAATGAACGCTTCTAAGACGGCTATATTTGAAAATAGCAAAAAACAAATTTTGAGCACAAATTATTATCCGGCATTTCTAGTGGCCTTCACATGCCAATTTTCAGTCGAATCTGAGCAAATCTCTTTCGGCAGCTGTTTTTATAAAAAAAATACTTATATGGCAGCCATTTTAAAAATGGCGAAAATAAATTTTTGACCCAAAATTATAATTAAGGACTCCTAAAGAACCTCGCATGCCAATTTTCAGCAAGATCGAAGCAAGTTTTTCTTCGCCCGCCATTTTGAAATCGCCATCTTGAATTTTTTTTAACCCAGGCAGTTGACCAGTATTACCCTCTATGACATTCCTTCGAGCACCTCCTACCTATCTCGAATAGTTTCCGTGATAGGAGGCTTTGAAATTTGTATGGCGGCCATCTTGTTTATTTGAATTTCGAAAATTTTTTACTTCCGGCGGAAATTGACCAGGGTGTATCTCATAAAAATGCTCAAAAAGCTCCCCCATGTATTATAGTTTTTGCAGGCCGTTGATCACTCGTTTACATTTTCCACATTCAGGTCTTCTCATATTTGATTTTTTGCCTTGGAGTCTATCCGCGTACAACGGTAGAGGGCTCCGGGGTAACGTCCATTCGTCCTGTGTCCTGTGTTGTAGACGCCATATTCTGCGTCAGTATAGAAGCCCCTTTTCGACGTGAATCTCAGGTAGACCGTGCCCAATTGAAATGTGAAGCGCCGGCCATGCCCCAGGACAGTGGGGACCAGATCTTCGGGGAGGCTCACTACCACGAAGGTATGCGACCGATTCGGCGCGCGTCCTCCCATTTGCCGGGGATTAGAAGTCCACAGACTACCCTCCGGGGAGCCTCCGCCCCATTTTTCAATGAGAGGGGCTCCTCGGACGGCAGCCTGATGGTGCTGACGGCGTCCTCCAGCCACTGGAAAGTGGCCTTGTCGTGACACCACAGTTTCAAGGCCCCATCGCCGTAGACGGGTTTTCCTCGAAACTGTGCGCCGACGTCATCCTCGCCGCATTCCTCAGCTCCTTGAGCGAGGAGCTCACATAGAGCCTCCTGTATGGTATCAGCATCGAGGCTCCGTATAAATCCGGTTTTGGCCGAGGTAATAACCGCCATGAGTTCGGGGTTAGTTGCCTCGGCGTATGATTTGTTCTGGCCGGGCCTCTCAACTTTCTGCCGCTTGTGTTCGCCTCTTGGAGAGATTGTCTCTTCGAGGCGTGCTCGTTTGGCATTGGTCGAGGACCTCTGCGCCTTGTCTGCCGGTTTGCTCTTAGAAGGGAGGGGGGCCATTCCAGGGGGTTGCGAGTCCGGTCCAGGGACCCGCTTTGGTGCGGTCCCGAACCATCCCCGCCAGCCAGTGGGGGCCTCACCTCACCCCCTTCTCCTGGGTGTTGCTCGTGTTTTGAAGTCGTTCGCCCTCTCGGAGTCGACCCCGTTTGTTCTTTCGGGCAGGGCGTCCCCTGCTCCCACTGGGAGCTGGAGGTGGTCGCTTGCCCTGGCCACTTTCCCCTTCCATGCGGATGGGTGCCGTGGTTTTGGGCTTGCGACTCACCAGAGTCCACTCTTTTTTTTTTTTTTGACGGGGGGAAATCGCCTGAGCCCAGGGAGACTCAGGGGTTATGTGGGGACTCTTCCCCCCGGATATCCCTCTCGCCGGTTGAGTCGGCGCCGTGGGATTAGTGAACATTCACCACGACGCCGCCCGGCCGCCCTAGCTTACGCCAGGGCTCCCGCGCCAACGGAGGGGCGAGTCGGTTGTCCTCCGACCCGCCCCCCAGACGAGTGAGGCCGTGCAATGCAGGCACCGGAGTCCGTGTCCAGAGCCCGCTGGTCTCAGTAGGGGATCAGGCGAGCAGCATCCTGCCTTCGCCTTCTCCCCGTACGTCTGCGCACCCGCTCCGCGACCTCCTTTTGCGACATAACCTCTGCGCAAAAGGAGGCCAGCGCCTTCCAGGACTCCTCGCTATCGAGCATGGCGGCAACCACGCTCGGCAGCGAGAGGTCCTGCCCTACAGTCCCCGTCAGAGTGCGGCGCTGCTCATCCCACCATCCCACATACACACCTCTAGGGTATGCTGCGCGGTGTCATCCGCAGCGCCGCACTCGTGCCACGACGGGGACGGCTCCCTCCTCGCCACCTTGTGCAGGTAGTGACCGAAACAACCGTGCCCGGTTTGCACCTGCACAAGGTGGTACGACAGTGGCTCTTGGACCGGTTTACCCACTCTACGAGGACAGGGCGGATCGCCTCTATGGTTTGAGCGCCATAGGGGGGATCCGCCAAGCCCTCTTTCCACCGGTCCCGCATGCGCTGCGCCGCGAGGCGGCGGCCAGAGTACACCCTGCCTCAAGGACTGTGTGCGTTGGGTTCTGCGATCCAGAGCCAGGTGTCTGAGCGGGGACCACGGAGCACGAGGCTCGGGCCACTACCGTTGGTGTTGGGCCAGCACCGGCATCGGTACGCGGTTGGCCTTGGGGTTTCCCCTTTGGCCTACCACTCACCGTAGGGCGCTGTTCTGTATTTGATTTTGTGCTTGATGGGGCACTTTTGGGTTTCCCTTCCAGTACCACCGGTTTTGGGTGATTGATTGTTTTTGATTGATTTGCAGAATCCATATTGCAGTGTTCTTGTGTTCACTCTCCTGATTTCCCACCCACCAAGGAGCCCGCACCTTTGGGGATATCCCATTCGGGACACCAGGATTATCAGGAGAGTATAGGTGCAGGGGTTGGGAGCTCACTGCGCGACATCGGGGGCTCGAAATGTGCGGCTGGCTGACCCGATCAAAGTCAGCCAGGTGTTCCGCACATACTCACCCCGTCAGCATGGCCGCGGGGCCCCCCCCCCCCCCCACACCTCGCCTGTGGCCCTCTGACGGGACGCATTGCCGTTTCCCTGTGTTGGTTAGTCACAGGGCTACTGTTTAGCAGGAAATCAGGGCCGAAGAGGGCGTATTGCTTGCCGGGGTTCCCACCCCGCTCGGGCTTCCAGGATTCCTTCATCCCTGCGTACGGCGCTCAACTGCGTAGGCATAAACGCAGGAGGGTGTAGGTTATGACCGCCCACCACTTGCCATGATCCACTCTCATAAATGCATGGCCGGGCCGTGTTGATCGCTTCGCGCCCTCCCTGGTAAGACTCAGACTGAAGTCGAGAGTTGTCAGCGTTGGCCCCAGGGTGTACCGGCTATATCCTTGTGCATTCTGTGACAACATGTCATCACAGACTGCTCAAGAACTTCGCACGCGTGGAGGTGAAACAACTAACACACCCCACGCATCTTTCTAATTTGTGGTGCTAAAGAAAAGTTGGCATTGGCAATGTTTGCGATTTTTCGGTACTTCGTGCGAGTTGTACAGGGAAATAGTGCTTTGATGTTGTTGAGTAAGTCTTATGGCTTTAAATACATACAAAGTTTGCTTGTTGTGGCATCATAATGTCATCATTCCGCACATTTTAATAAAGCTGAATCAATTCCAGAATGTCGGAGGCAGATGTACCAGAGAAAAACCGTAATCTGAGAATCATCGCATTAATTAAATAATCGTTTGTTTATTTGTAATAATCCTGTTTAATTTCCTCGCAATCGAAGTGAAAAGCAGAGTGTATAACTCGTTCATAAAACCCACTTTAACCTCGACTTAAGTATCCATGCTCGCCTGCGGCTCGGATGGGTATACTCGTCTCGGGTAAAATGACGCGTTTTATGCACGTGTTGTACAATCTACTATTTATTATCATAGAATATTATAGTAATAGAATATTATAGTAATATTAAACTTAACAAAAATTATATTGTTTCATTATTATTTTATTCTTGACCAAGAATTAAAAAAAAAATGTAATAACTCGTATTCCACATGTCAGTACAAATGTAGTTTTATAATTTGAAGTAACGCCTCGTAAACCACATTTTTATTAAAACTAAAGCAAATGTTAATTAGTTTAAGATGTTGAAGTAATGTAAATTGTTAATAAAATAAGACTAAGTTTTTACCAAAAGTTAAAATTAGATGTGAAAAAATTAACATTATTTTATCGTTTATTGTAAAGTTCGGTAAATGTGGCATACGAGATATTGCCTTTTAACCCTCGATAAATAACTTCATCCCATTCGTCAAAATTACAAGGATGCAGACCTTTCTCTTTGCTGCCATTGGATAGCGCTTGTTTTTTAATATGTCTTTGAGTGACCAATATCGGTTCCAAGAGTTGGTAACTCTACTTTCTAGTTATTGCTCAGTTTGATCACTAAATGACTTATAAAAGTAGGATCCTACATATTCAATGTATTCCCCATCTACAGTTTTGCAGATCTGTTAGTCATTACTTTGGTTTTAGTTTTGTAAATGGTTAAGCCTACTTCTTTGCTTTTAGTTGCAATAAACGAACATTAATTGGGATTTTTTTATTACATTTGTTTTTTTACCTCTGGGAACTACTGGGGTATTTCAAATTCCATTTGTTGCCAGTGGTAACATAATAGTTTTTCGTCTCATGTGTTACACCACCTGGTAACCACCACGTTTTTCCTATTTGTCGCCGGTGGGAACAAAGTCAGTGGTGACAACTGGGGATAAACCGAAATGTGTACCTACTATGCTTGTTGATTAATTAAAAAAAATTAACTCCAAAAGCGCCACTCATAACATCTACACTAGAAATTAATTAAAAAATGTTTATTTGAATAAGTATTTCATACTTCTTGTTTTGAAACAGGGAGGCTGATGAGCTGAAAGAGAAGATTTTGAAATTCAAGAGTGGGACCTCTATGCTACAGGAGCGCAGTATTTGGGCCACACAACAGCAATTACAAAAGGTAAACGCACATTTCAAGTAATTTTAAATCCCGCCAAAAATGATCGTGAAATCTTTAGAGAAGAGTCGTGTGCGACCACGGAAGAAAAAAAACAATGGAAGTCCCTTAAGCCTCGATTACTATCAGAACCGATGTCGTCAAAACTCACATATTCTCAATTTGAAACACTTCAAAATCTTGATATTGATTGGTCATAGTATCAAATTTAAAAAGACAAATTCTGGATTGTTAATATAATTTAAACTTTACCTTGTTGGCATATATATCATTGAAAGTTCAATACCATCAATATTATTGCAAGTTACGACGTTTTGATATTATATTGAAATTACAATCAATGTGCTGCCATCTAGCGGTTAATTGCTGAACGACGACGAATTTGAGTTATTAATTTAGTTCTCCAAAAAAGAAGTGACTATATTGCAGGGGTATTCTCTCAGAGGATGGAAAAGGGTATTATTGAAAGGGTTGTAAGCCTAACTAGCCGTGAAGATGTTCACGGCAATGAAATAGGAAACTTCCGGTCCACAAAATTTATTAAAGAATTGTAAAGAAAGGAGTAAGACTGTAACAATAAAAAGGTATATATAGAAAAACAGGTACAACAATATAAACTCCCTAACTTAATGAATAAGTACACTTACCCCAAAAGGGCCGAGAAACTGAATTACAGAAATAGATACATGAAGGCTGTAGACTTATAAAACGTTAAACATGATTAGCTTATTAACGCTCCGACTCTTGTCGCGGTCGAGCTGGGAGTGACCGTGGTACGAAAACAAAATGAGAATGAGAAAGAGAAGGAAAATAAAAAATGATAGGTTACAAGCGGAGAGAGGCGATACAAAGAGGTGAGATGACGGTGAAAGGAGGGTACAATAACAATTTATAACAAAAAAAATTCGATAAACAGAAAATTTAAAATTTACTGAAAAAATACTTTCCGATGATGTGAAATATTTTTGTTGCTGCTATCATGTTTGCGTTCCAAAACAGCACAATAAGGCATTTTTCTAGGATTTTCGAGATTTTGCACGATAGAATGACACAACCAACCAAAGCGAAAATGGAGGACTGAGCTCTGATAGGTCTTTCAAGACCTATAGTTCGCACTCGTCGGACACTAACTAACCACTTCTACTGTATTTATTGTTCTGTGTGTGCGACAGTGGGATGTGTATTGTCGTTATAGGATTCACCAATCCGTAGCTGTGTGTACCCCGCGACGCTTTTGACGCTTTGGCACAAATGGACATAGTTATGCAAACAAGAACCAACCCACACCTCGAGTGAAATTGAGTTATGTATTAGGTAGAACACCAGACGTGTCCATTACCCGCTCACAAAAGATCCTGGCAATATACCAAGCCAAAACGGAGAAAATAAAAGTCCTCCAGGGTACCAACCCTAAATAAGTAACTTTTTAATAGCTAAAAACTGCTTAACTTCATATAAATGTTTTTTTTTAAATAGTCTCAAGGGATCCATGTCACATGTACTGAAGTACTGTAGATCTTTAGCGTTTTCATTACGAAAACTGGAACATGGTTCTCGTTAACTAAATAAAAATATACATAATGTTTTCTATTTTTGCTAAATAATATAATAGTTTCCCTGTATATCATTCTCAATGCTACATATAACTCTTGTTATTTGTTAATTGTTTGTCTCAAATAACTTACCTATTTATTTCTTCACACTGTTTTACAAAAATCTAATTATCTCGAAAATGACATTTTGTGGGTTGGTTCTAGTTTGCATAACTATGCCCAAATGTAATAAACCGCTGTTTTTTCGAAAATATAATACGCAACTACAAAACGTAAGCTAGCTGCCACAATCAGTTCTTTAATTTGTGTTGCAGGTGTATCAGAAGGTGTTAGTGTTAGACCTGGACTATGCGTTGGACAAGAAGGTGGAACAAGACCTATGGAACATCGGCTTCAAGCAGCAGATTGAGGCTCTGCAGGCCATCTCCAAAGATAGAAAGGTACATAAGTTTTTCTCGTAATCTGTCTTATTTCTTGGTATTATAATATGACTTTTAACTGTGTAAAGCAATTTCAAACGACACTCCTCTTTTAGTGGAGTATTGGAAATAAAGACACTATATTATTAAATATCGTGTATAACGTGCAACTTACTTATATTTTGAAAAATTGGATACCATTTTTAGCAGGAAAAGACCTAAATTGTATCTGTAGTGTATACATACATATTTATACTAATAATATAAATAGTAGAAATAGAAAATAGTGTATACTACTTCTGAAGGAAGTTTATACATACTTCTGCAGATAATTGTGACTGTTTGTCTGTCTACTTTGTACCACAAATATTTGTTATTGAAATTAACTATTTCCATATTTATCTCATTGCACTTGGCTTCCAGAACCCATTACGTAGCGAAGGGCAGGCAATGCTGTCATGGCTGCTGCAAGCGGCCACTGGCTTCTACCTGTGCCTGCTGCATCAGATTTGCACTACTTTCAAACTTGACCTGCCATTTAGGTAAGGGTTTTCTTTTTATTAATATCTAAACTGGTTTTAAACTAATTATTAGGCAGAACAATTCTCAACTGTGCTTAAAGTGCATGACATCATTATGTACAAAGCTGATGATGAGTGTACAAAGCTGCTAGCAACGAATTGTCTTTGGAAAGTATTTTAATTTTTTGTCTAGTTATTTGTTATAGGACTAAAAAAAAAATTTTGCAAATTTTACCAATTTGTGCTGTCCCGATTTTTTCTTTCAGTACATTGAAACGAAACTGAGTCAATCCGCCCTAAAAAACTTAACCAATTTTTTGACCAAAAAATTTACTATTCCAAAATTGTTTTCTCAAAAAAGAACTCCAAGAAGATTCCAATATTCTAAATTGCAACAACGAATATTTTGTGTCCTTTAGTTAGGACTGACTCGGTGAAGGTGCTCTCTGCGAAATCCCTCAGCTGTATTTGTTTGTCAGACGACGCGCGTCGCTCCTAGGATGGGTGGAGGGGTGGGGTGCGGGCGGCAGCGGGTCTGGTGCTGGAGGCGCGCGAGTCCCGCCGCCAGCCGCCGCGCGCTACATCTGCCAGCACTGCCTCGTGCATCTTGGCGACCTGGCACGCTACCGCCAGCAGCTACGCGTCGCTCATACTTTCTACAGGTATGCAATAAATACAGTAGAAGTGGTTAGTTAGCGTAAGACGCGTGCCAACTATAGGTCTTGAAAGACCTATCAGAGCTCAGTCCGCCACTTTCGCTTTGTATGGTATGGTTGTGTCATTCTTTCGTGCAAATTTTCGAAAATCCTAGAAAAATGCCTTATTGTGCTGCTTTGGAATGCAAATATGACAGCCGCATCAAAAATATTTCACATCTTCGGAAAGTCTAATTTTAATAAATTTAAATTTTCTGTTTATCGAAATATTTTTTTTGTTACAAGAAACGAAAGTAAAGCTCGTACACCTGCTATATGGTCTCTTCTTTTTTGGAGAACTAAATTAATAACACAAATTCGCTTTCGCAAAAGATTTTAACAATCCAGAATTTGTTGGTACTTCTTCGTAAAATTTTCAATCGTTTATATTTTTTTAACTAATGTTGATAGGAAGCGTTATACCTTTAATTCTTGAAAGTAGCAAATAAAAGTAAATAGGTAGCAATTATTAGTAATACATACTTCTGAAACATCTGCTTCCTTCATGCTGAGCAATGAGGCGACCAGCCCTCCTGACGTCAGAACGGCTGGTCAATTATTATTTTATTTCTCAGAATTATTTCTCAAAGGTAGCAATTATTTAGAAAAAGTAGAAAATAGTAGCAAATAGGTAGCAATTCTCGAGTATACACTCAGTGACAGATGCGACAGGCGACCAGCCATCCTGACGGTCACATTTATCAAAGCTTCTCTAATTTCCAGTGGTAACATGCCTAATTATTATTATTATTATTGTAATTTGTCATATTTTCTACATTTTTAATCGGCTTCAAAAAAGGTGGAGATTCTCAATTTGACTGTATTTTTTTGTGTATGATTTTGATGTTTTTTTTTTTTTGTTGGAAAAAGGGTATCTCATTGGTCCCTTTTAAATTTGAAGAAAATATTCCACATCTAAGGGTGGGAAACTGGTAGAAATAAAATTTGACAAAAAGATGTAATTCCTCAAACTTTTTAGAGGTCGGTTTCTTTTTTATAAAAATTTTATAATTATACAAACATACTAAGCAATTTGAAACCTCCAAGCATTGACCTACCAATAAATGGACATCGGGTCTAATACAAAAACCACGAAAAAAAATGTCCGAAGTTAACCTATACAAACGTAGTGACATGTAACGAAATATAAAAAACTAAAACATTTAATTTAAATTCTAACGTCATTGCACTACTGCCTAATTTTGCTTGCAACAGTTTAAGGGCTCAAAAACACCATATTCAGCTTCTAATGGAAACTTAACAAAATACACCATATTTAGCTACGACTGACAAATACTTGAACATAAGAGTAATGGAGTAGCCTTTCTCTTAAATATTAATTAATTTTTATTTATATTATTATGTCGAATTTTGTACAAATTTACTTAAGGATTATAATAAAGAGTTGGGCAGATACATACATACAAATATTACTAGAAATGTAAAAATAAGCGTGTACTATAAGAAATGTACCGATATTCCAACTAAATGTAAACTCAAATATCCGTAATTCTGAAAACTGATTTGTAATAAAACCGTTACGCTTTCGAGTAATTTTGTTGCTTTTCACAAAGCCAAAATTATTAGCTCTTGTTTTGCAATCTTCCTAAAAAAATACATTTGACGTTATGAAAATTCGAGCTCAGGTTATTTCGGGCAAATTTATTTTCTGTCTTCTGATAGGTAATCTCAAGCCGTAAAACGAGTACAATAATATTTTGTTAGTTAATAAAAAAACCTTTAATAAAAAAAATCATTTTAAAAATATGATTAAAATCAAAGGGACTCTATAGTTTCTTTGTTCTAAATATTTCAATCGCTTGTGGTACGAACAATTGAAAATGACCAAGAAGTATATATAAGCTTCTTGAAACTGACGTAATAGGTCTTTTTCCATCTCTTGCGCATGCAATGTGTAGAAAAAGGACAGTTAGCTATTTGATTATTTTGTGTGCTTTTGTCATTTATATTTACGATTCATTTTTTATATATATAAATTAAATACTATAAAACTGTACAAAATAACATTTTTAAATGATAACTATGATAATACAATAAGTTCGTTTAGTGAAAATATGATACAAAATCCTGTTTTTACACTTTACTGCAGTAATCTTTATAAGTTGTTATTTTTGGTACTGCATGATTGACAACCGCGCTGTCAGTCGAACAAACGAAGACTGTTGCGCGATTGACGCTCTGTATGCGATTTTAACGCCCTACAGGTGCGGACACTTTTTAGCGCGAACCCTACGTCCATTTATTGGCAGGTCAGTGCCTCCAAGTAATAAAAAAATGGTAAAAAAAGTTGACATAAATCCATTAGCCTCTATGGCGAAAAAACTTGAGGCGCCACATCATCATGTTGGTCGACACGTCTTCGCTTATCAGCTTCCTATTATTACATTAAACCACTTAAAACATTAATAGAAGGAGCTTACAACTTCACATAGAGCGAATTAAACTAGATAGTTTTAGAAGTGATGGCAGTGAAAATGCCAAAGGGTTGCGTTGTGTTCATAGACACGCGCTAGTACTTTCGGCCCACTCCGGCCAGCCGTACAACCAACTGGCGCTGGTGTGGTGGCGGCGCGGGCGCCGGCTGGGTGCGCTGTATTGGCACGTACGCTCGTTGCTCGTCCGAGCACCTTTCCCGCCCGCGCCCACCAACCTCGCGCGCACGCTGCAAGCTGCGGCTGCAGCCGCTACCAGCACGTGAGTTTTTTTACCCTTGACCGGATTCTCTTTAACCGGTTATCTGGTAGCCACTTTCATAGAATTGCATTAATTTGATTGAGAATTTTCGATCGCGAACTATAGTCGAGTTAAGATAGCATCCTCTGTTTGACAGCTATGAACGGCGATAGTACGTAACTTAATAATGATTGTCCAAATAGGAAACGAATAATATTATTATAATTATATTATAATTTATGTCCACTGTGAGCACTAACAACAACGTGTTTATTTCGGTTGACTACAATAACACTAAATTTCATTTAATATCTGGGTTAAAGTTGTGATAGTTTGTATTTAAGATATGTCGTATAAACGGTTATGTTCTATGATTTTTTTTCTTACACCTAGTGATGCATCACAAGCAACAGGATAGTACTATTATGTGATTAAAGAAATTATGTAGTATGGTAGAAATATCCCCAGAAATTAAGTAAGTGTTGCCATTAACGAAAATTTACATGATAAAACATGAATAAATGCATTATATCAAATCTTTAATACTTTAATAATAATTACTTACTTGTGTTATTTACAATTAAATGTCAATTTTGCCCAAAAAAATATTAACAAATTATTTAAGTAACCAGAAAATTCTCACTGCAAATTTGCATATTGCACATCAATACGTACAAGTGCGAAATAGCCCTGCCATAGTCTTGTTGTTCCTGTTCCTTGTGACTTCAGGCGGGTATGAATACTACTAAATTACTATACTATATTGGTAACTAGTATATTACTAGTATTAATGATACTAATGAAACTGGACGTGTTACGACTCTAAAACTATCTGTCAAAAAGAGGACGTTGTCTTGGCTTGACTATAATAGGTTTAGTGGCACCTTCCTCTGTCGCACAGTTGACAAATGGAACTCTCTTCCAGGGCACTTATTCCCTCCGTCTTACGACATGTGGTCCTTCAAACGAGGCGCGAAGAGGCATCTTGTAGGCATGCAGGGTGGAGGTGGCTAGGGCAGTCATTGTATCGACACTGCACTGAGTTCCTTCATGTTTGGAGGCCACTTTCCATTTTACATCAGTATTTAAAAAAAGAGATAAGTTGGTTGGTTGCAAATGGAATTCCAAAACTATGCGTAAAGGTCCTAGCCCTTTCAACCACACCATTAACTGATCTCAAACTTAGAAATTTTCTATACTGCGAGTACCACAGAACAAATTTGTCCGATCGGGAATCGAACCGTTAGGCCAGCAAAGTCGTCAATTAGTGTCAGAGCAAATCGACGACGGGAAGGCAGAGGAGATTACATTTATCAATATATAACGATCCAAATAGCATTATCATAAGGTGTAAATTTTAGTGCCCTGGAACCGACCTCGGAGTATCACAGCGCATTTCTCTCTGCGTCTCAGAGTATTGAAATTTAAACTTAAGCCTAACATATACATTTATAAATATAATATCCTCTAAAAGTTTTTGACATAACAAAGCGTGGATAACAGTCTTCATATAAAGTTGTAATGTGAATTCCAGTCGGGAGCTGAAAGGCCTGTCGGTGCTGCCCGTGTTGCCGGGCGTGACCCCCGCCCCCGCGGAAACGGTTGCGGGCGCCGCAGGCCGCCTCGACGCGCATGCGTACGTCAGCGGGCTCATACGCGCCATGCATCTCATACACAATGTTGAAGAGTAAGTAAACAATCAAATCGCAGCCTCAATAATAAAATAATATACAGAAACTAATAACGCTCACAATCAACATAGCCCCGCACTAGGGAAACCCTGTGTCGCGGGTGCCATGGACACACAAATAGACAACCACAAATTACACCCAAACTCACGAGAGAAATAAATGTAGGCCATACAAATATTTCTCCCGGCCCGGGAATCGAACCTGGGACCTCTGCGTGGCTGCGTGGCTGGTGGTTTTGTTAATAAGCTCGGAATCCTTCTCAAAAATGAAATTGGTTAAGTCTGGCCGCTACTCCATGTTAATTAGAATTTATAACCACATCTCCAAGTTACATTTATACTTTAAATAACATTTACACTACCTCTGTGGCCGAACGGTGGGTCCCAGGTTCGGTTCCCGGGCCGGGAGAAATATTTGTATGGCCTACATTTATTTCTCTCGTGAGTTTGGGTGTAATTTGTGGTTATCTACGTGTGTGTCCATGGCACCCGCGACACAGGGTTTCCCTAGTGCGGGGCTATGTTGAGTGTGTACGTTATTATTAACAACAACAACAACGCTTGATTTTAATTGCAATTAAATTAATTACATTAATTGCAATTGAAACTAACAATTAAAACCGAATAAACGTGTCATTACGAATATGGGTTTTGGGGGGTTAAGGGTGTCCTGACACACCGGTCGGTTCGGTTAGGTTAGGTTAGCAATTAACAATTAATTAATTGTTAATTGCGGTTCTCACAACTAACAATTGATTAATCGTTAATTGCTGTTTCGCAATTGACAATTAATTAGTTGTCAATCTTTAATTGCCAGAGCAATAAAATTTTACCCAGCACTGATAATATGTGTGTAAGTTCAAACTTTAGAGAAACTTTCTTGTAGGTTGGAAACGGCATCAACGATAGTGGAGTCTCTGAATTCATCTCTAACTGCACTGGTAGCTACGGACAGCTTCGAATCCATGACACTCATTAAGGTAGAGTACGTCACTTTCCTTCGTGCCTGACCTTAGATGCTTGAACTGGTTGATCTGAAGGGTCACATCCTACCCAAGTTATGGTTAAATAATTATCATTGTAGCTCTTTTTTATTTTTACACCAAAGCACCTTTTTTTTTTGTTTAATGTTGTTAATATTGCTAACGAATGATTTTATTTTCATTTATATTAGTTACGATTACATTCCCAGAACAATAAATACAGTAGAAGTCATTGACTTACAAATAAATGGACGACGGGTCTAATACAAAAACCACGAAAAAAATGTCCCAAGTCAACCTATTTAAACGTAGTGACATTTAAAGGAATATGAAAAAGCTAAAACGTTGAATTTAAATTGTAATATCATCGCAGTACTGTCTAATTTTGCTTGCTTCGCTGTCAGTCGAACAAACGAAGACTAGAGCGTGAATGACGCTCTGTATACGATTTTAACGCCCTATAAGTTCGGACACTTTTTAGCGCGGACCCGACGTCCATATAATTATAAGTCAATGGTAGAAGTGCTTAGTTTGTAGTGACATGTGTGCCAACAGTTCGCGGAGTTCCGCAAATTTGAGCTCAGTCTGCCACTTTCGCTTTGTACGTTAACGAAATCGTATAAAAATGCCTTATTTCGCTTCTTTGGAGTGAAAAATTGTAGTCCCACTTGTAATGTAGGGAACATTACGAGGGAGGAGGGGTATGCTTAATGATAAAAGATAGCATAGATTTCATAGAAAGAAAAGATATTGTCAAGTTCTCTGTAGAATACATTGTAGAATTTTGCGCCATTGAGATACCTAAACTAAATATAATTATCATAGGATTGTATAGAGCGGACCGCCATATGGATATTTTTCATGAACAAATGAACAAATTGCTAAGGAAATTAAACTCTAAAGACAAAAGCAAACATATAGTGATAGGTGGAGATTTTAATGTAAACATGAAAGTAAAAAACAAACAATCCCAAGATCTCACAAATATAATGCATTCTTTTAACCTAAAACAACTAATTCGAAAACCTACCCGAGTTACCAAAAATACCTCAACCTGTATCGACCTTATATTTACAAATAATACCACCCTTGTTGAAAAGTCGTACGTTGAAGACTATGGCCTGTGCGATCATAAAGCCATTAATTTAAAGTTAAGTTCAGACCTGCATCATAGTAAAAATCACATGCTCTATAAACAAAGTAGAATATTTACAAAAAACAAAATAAACTCATTTAAAAATGCATTAAAAGAATTTGATTGGGAAAACATCATAGATACAAATAACAAAATAGACTATAACTATAATTCATTCCTTAAAATAATAAAACACCATTTAAACGAACACATCCCAGTGCAAAAAACAAAAATTAAGAACACTACAAAAAAAACTTGGCTTACTACAGGTATAAAAAAGTCGTGTATTCATAAAAGATCACTAGGTATTCTAGTAAATGAAACAAATAGTAATGTTATTAGAAACTTCTACAAATCATACACCAAAACATTAAAACGTTGTGTAAAAATATCAAAAAAGCTGATGTACATAAAACAAATGAAGAACTCTGAAAATAAAATTAAGACAATGTGGGGTATTATTAACGCTAAAACTGGGAAAAAACGTCATAAAAAAATTAAAAACATGAAATTAAAAATTGGCAACGAGGAGATTGAATGTCCAATACAGATCGCAGAAATTTTCAATAACTACTTTGCTACTATTGGAGAAAATAATAATAAGAATGAGGTTAATGTAGGACTACCTGTTATCGACAGCCCTGTAAATTCATTATATTTACACCCGGTAACACAACAAGAAGTTATTAAAATTATAAAACAGCTAAAAAACAAGCATAGTCACGGCATAGACGAGATACCCCCATCGTTACTTAAGCAATGTGCTGACGAACTATCTCAACCACTTACATATCTAATAAATCAAAGTTTCCGAGACGGCGATTTTCCTAACTTACTTAAAATATCACTGATTAAACCAGCCCATAAAAAAGACGATACAAGTAACCCTAAAAATTATAGACCCATAGCAATTTTACCGTCGTTTTCAAAAGTACTGGAGAAAGCTATGTGCAATAGACTTTACACATTTTTAGAAAAATACAAAATACTCGACGACTGCCAAAATGGTTTTAGGAAAACCAAATCAACTACTTTAGCCGTATACAAATATATTCAAGCTGCCCTCCAATACCT